ATTATTTGTCATGCTCTTTTTTCCCCGGTGTAACACGTAATGAAAAAAAAAAGCGATACTTATCGCAAAATTTGATACGAAAAATTTTTACATCTTTTCATATAGTAGCACAAAGACAATGTTACAAACAAGTACTGCATTTGCTTAAATATTGATAACTTTAATTATAGCATGTCGTTTATGTCACAGTAGCATTCCATTCTTTATATATCACATCTTACATAGACATGCCAAGAAAAAAAGTGAATCTTTTTTTTTTATCTATCTTATCTTCTGCGATGAAGGTTTAGTAATTTTAGTTACAATATAATTTGCAATATATTGCACTGGTGTACTGCATACTTATAGTTGCTATTGAGTTTAAATAACTTAACAAAAAAAATTGTTCGCAGTGCTTGTAAGTCATTATGTACGAGTACATAATGTTAATAAAAGTTTTCCATACGAATTATTTTATTTTACCCTTATTAATATCTGTTGAATTTGTGATATTGACAAATAGGAATGACAAAAAGAAATATTTCCTAATTATCTTTATGCGGCATGATAACCATTATTTTATTTCATTTACTATCTTATCCGTGAAAGAAGCCAAAAAGAGGAAACGTATTCATAATATGCGTTTAAATACCATCTATAATTTGTACGTAAATACTTTCAAAACAAATATTCACGAGAAAAAATTTATCGATGACGAATAATTCACTGTTTATCCACAACATCCAGGTCGTAAATCTTGTTGCTGATCTTGTTCCTTGTGACTTGGTGTTCTTTTCTTGAGGCGTGCCATATCCGAATTCATCATTTTATGATGGTTAAGAGGTATATTTATACTTGCTTGAGTGGTCGGTGGAAGAGCGCAGCGTCCATCCTACGATTATATCGTTATATTAATTTTGATTAATAAAAACTTAAAGAAGGAAGTTTATACAACAAATAAGCATTTAAGAAATATAAATTTCTCATAAGATTAAAATTATAAAATTAAAATTATAAGAAGCATAGCGAGATATTTACGGTGACGAATGATTCAGCATCCGTGATAGAGTCGGCATGAGCAGAGGAGAACAATGATAAATGTTGAACTTCGTTTTCGATACTTCGTACGCAAACGAAGGTAAACATCATTGAGACGACCAGTAACAACTTGAGGAACATCTTGCACTTTTCTACTTTGACTTCGGAGTTCGTTCTAAAATCCTCAAGTATAAGGCTTGCTCTTTTATATGGATCAATATTTGCTCGTAAATCTTTGTCATGTTACGTTATTAATGACTCTTACTTTGAAGTTCGATCAAACACCGATATGTCAAATTTGAGATATTTTAAAATCGCATATTTCTAGTCACTACTGTCAAAGATATATCGCTCGAAGAATAAACATACATTTCGTGTGTGTATTTTAAAAGGATACGTTTAATAATGCAATTGTAATTGTGGAACATTCAATTGCCATTTAAAAAAAACAAATGATTTTTCGATGACAAATATCTTTTATATTAGAAGACACAGCATGTATTTATGTATATAGTACAGAACAATAATTTTTGGTACCATCTTTATAAACGATTACATGCACACGATAATCACGTACAGTGCCTTTTTTCTTTTTTTTTTTTACAAAGCCTTCCTAATGACTGTCGTAATTTTGTACGTATTCACGTGACTACCACAGTAATTAATCTGCTGTATATACAATTCAATAATTACGCATATACGTTGCTATTGTACTTGCAATTGTGCGATAAGGAATAATTGAAGAACTTCATCTCGAGAAAAATAATCTGCGTAACGTTTCAATTGAATTTTCTCTTTTATACATTATCTATTTTAAAAATGGATCGCTCCAGACGGAATTTATATTTATATGGAAAAAAATCTGTACAAATTTGCGGTAAGCGGGAAGAAATATTTGAGATGAAAAATCGCGTAATGTTTTCTACACAGATCGTATTACACCGATGAGTCCTGAAAAGAATAATAACCTATTCGCGTGACTCGTCCGAAGCGATACATTCTCCTCGTAAATGTATCACCTTAAATCTTACGTAAGATGTAATTATGGTGTTTTCTACGTTATTCTTCATCTATATAACATCTACGTCGCTTTGACGATACGTGGTAACCTTTAAGATATACCAATATACTTTCTTATGTAACATCGATTATATTATCTGCAACGGTAGTCGATCCTTGCTGGATCTGCTGAGCGGAGGACTGTCAAAATAACATACGCTATAGTTAGTTATTTAATTAAATCGAAAAATGGAAAACGATAAGTTTTAGATGCGACGCGATATATTAATCGATGTTTCTTTTACGTCAAATTTATATTATATATTTTCTTTTTTATAACGTAAGAGTGATCGTGTAATAAATTGGTGTATTAGGAACGGTCAATTCTAGAGGAATCTCTCAAGAATAATATTCTGATTTTATCAGAATATTACCACGATTATGAAATTGGTTAAGTAATAAAATTGCAAAGTGAAACTTGTTCTAATCTTGAAAGAGGTTTACCAAATAAAAAAAAAAATGTTATTTCCAGTTATACGTAACGATGATATATCGCCATCAGGCAATCCACGTGCTTAGCAAATCCGTGTATAATTAATCTTAAATTTAATCGTTCGCCATATAACAGGCGAATCTATTGTCATGCTTTTTAGATTCGTACATCTTACTGTATATAATTAGTCTATCCGTTCCCAAGGCACCATGTTTCGATCCTTGCATCAGAGCATTAACATTTTTTTTTTTAATGCTCTGCGTGTCTTTTTTTTTTTTAATCTGGCCTTTAAAAATATATATGTATATATATTTTTTTTCCCCCTCCTTTTTTTTACGTTTTGATTTTTGATCCTAATATGAAATTCACAAATATTCTGAATTTTTCCAGGCTGACCAGACACGATATTCAGAAATTAAATTACTGAAAATACGATACCTTCTTCCCTATATAATCGACTATAAATCATACTATTGTATTTTATATATATATATATTTTAATTAAATTTAGTTCCTTATGCATTTTGTACAAATACAGAAATAAAATTCGTTTTCAATGTACAATCGGCATACATACAATTCAATTTTGCGTACCTACATCGTATCAAGACAGAATGTTAAATGTACACCTGTAAAATATAAAAGGACTGTATACACTTCAAACTTGTGCGCGACATAATAATATACATACAAGATTGAAACTATTTTTTTAACAAAACTTCTGATATTACTGATATACAAATAAAGTAGAACGATTCGTTCAGAAAAATCATTCATCATTATCACGATTATTAAATTGTCAACAGGAGTACGTAGCCTTGCCTACTCCGAGATCCACTTCCAATCGAATCGCTTAATTTTTTTAGAGAGACAAAAGAAGCTTCTTAAAATGGGATGCAATAAATGGAATTGGCATTTTTTTTTTTTTTTTTTTTTTACATAACGTTATAGCTATCGGTATGTACAAAGATCCCTCGATACTTAAATTTCTGTTTTTCAAATCGGCGCGCACGTATACAGAGAACAATGGCCAAGTTTTTCTTTTTTTTTTTTTTTCTTTTTAATAATTCTTCCTATCTCTACGTAATATAATTTACTTACATTCAGCGTCGATTGGCATACATCTTTACACGGTTCCCTGACCAGAAACTCTATTCTCTCTAATGTACGAAATCTTCCTCGTTTAATATCGGAACTTTATCGCTCTTTTGATTGACCCGTAACGTGGCGCCCCATTTCGCGCCCCTGCCCGCCTCCGAGGTCGCCATCAGGATCGAGTAAGAGTTTGGACTTGCCGCCTCTTTGCTGTAGTGAATCCCGTATAGAAAGTATATCAACATCCCTGTAACAAATTAAATTTTCACCCATAATAACGATTCGTTTCCAGGGGGAGGGGAAAGATCGACTTACCGACGACCATCCAAACGAGGAATCGTAGCCAGGTCAAAAGCGACAAATGGAACATCAACCCTATGTTGAATAAGATGCTAAGGGCTGGTATCACCGGGACCATCGGGACCCGGAATTTACCGGTGGGAGGAGATTGTTGGTGGGCGATGATAACGAAAAGGCCTATGAAGTCACGTGTCATATGAATTATCGGTAAGAAAGGAAACGGCGTGAAAACGATAATTTTCGATTCTCTTACTTCCGATCAATAACAGGATGACGTTTGCCAGAACGAAATAGTCCCACAATGCGGGGGCAAAGTAAGTTTGAGATATCAGTATGAACAGAAAACACAAGGAGATGCAACCCGCCGTGTATATCATCACGGAACCCGTGACCACATCTCCCGGTTTACAACTGCCCAAAAAGTTGGCCAGCCAGATGTATCGCGATTTAAGTTTACCAGTGCCCTCGCTCAAGTCTAAGAGCTGCAAATTTGGGGGAAAATTGAATATATAAACGAGGGGAAGCATTTAGCGTTATATTTTTTCGTTATAAAATGGAAAATTATTAAAAATGGAATACCTCGGATTCGGCAGACGTGACGCTGTTGCAATCGCTGTTAGAGTCGGCGCCCTCTGTAGGCGGCGATGTCAAACTGCTAGGTGTACCCGCGTTCGACGGGGAGGGTGTAACCTTGTCAGGGCGGTATCTGAGGATGATCACGCTAGCTGAGACGATGGTGTAGGCCAGGAACGTGCCGATAGACATAAACTCGACCAAATGTTGAAGGTCGAAGAGCAGGGCGATTAAGGCACTGAGGAAACCGCTGATAGCCAAATTGAGAACGGGTACTTGGGTACGATTGTTAATATGGCCGAGAAAGCCGAACAGTAGACCGTCGTTCGCCATGGCGTACATTATTCGCGGCAACGAGAACAAAGATCCGAACAGAGTTGTCGTCATTCCGCACAATGCACCAATACTATTGAAAAATATTATTTATGATGATTAATGAACATGTTCTCGATGATCTTAGAATTGTTATTCGATTTCTCTTACCTTATCACGTATTTGGCCCATGGTATTCCAATCGACGAGAAAGCCTCGGGAAGGGCTGCAGTGGGATTGATCTTCCAATACGGTATGACCAGGGTTAAAGCGGCGCCGACCAGCACGTATCCAACAGTGACGATAGTCATTGAAAATAACGTTGCTCGAGGTATACTGTATGCAGGATCGCGAGCCTCTTCCCCGGAAGTAGCGATAGAATCGAAGCCGACGTACGCGTAGAAGCACGTTGCAGCACCTATTGTATATGTAATAAGAAGTAAGAGATGATATTTGCCGCAAGTAAATAAGGGAATACCTGCTAATACGCCGGTAAATCCATAGGGTAAGAACCCTCCATGCTCGCAACTCCAATTGGAAAGTTTTGCGTAGGCGAATCCTAATCCGATCACCAATCCCATTACCCCTAAATTTACGATAGTGAGCAAGGAATTAACCGTTGCCGAACTCTTAACGCCCAGTGTTAGCAGCATCGCGTAAAACAGGCATAATACAGCGGCCAAAACATCTGGAACACTTCCAAGCGGTTCTGCCATGGTGTATCCGTGCATTATTCGACGGCTGTAATTGCTGATCGATCCGCCTGCTAAAGAATCGACATATCCGCTCCAAGCCCTTGCCACGGATGCCGCGCCTATTTCCGTGATGCATGAAAAGTTCAGATGCATGAAATCGATCGGGATGAATCGGGGTTAATTTAAAGGAACCGTCTTTACCGATCATGTGCTCTAATATAATGTTCCATCCGATTACGAAAGCCCAAAATTCGCCGACAGAAATGTATGTGTAAACGTAAGCGCTACCAGCTTTCGGAATTCGTGCCCCAAATTCAGCGTAGCACAACGCTGCTAACAAGGAAGCTATACCGGCGAGTAAAAAGCTTAAAACTACGCCTGGGCCGGCCGTGTCGCGAGCTACTGTTCCTGTTAAAACGTAGATTCCAGCGCCAACCATATGACCAACGCCTGGAAGATAAATTTATGTAAATATATAAATATATGAGCGTGTCAAATGTCGTCAAAATAGTGTGAGAATTTTTCATTATTTAACGATAATACATATAAGTCGGAAGTACGTATTACATTATTGGGTATAATAATTATATCATTTCGGTTTGGAAACTACTTTATCGCGTACGAGAACAGGATATCGCGATAGGTGGACGTGCATGTCTTTACGATTAAAATAAAAGCATATGCTTACCGAGCAGCGTAATATCGAAGGTGGAAAGACATCTTTTCATTGGAGTTTCGAGCAAATCTCCTTGGAGTTTTTTCGTACGATTCATTTTGGTACATAAACCGGACATAACGTGTCCGAGGATCATTCGGCGTACCGATGGCATTGTCACTTATTTTAAACATAACTTCTCTTAGAATTTTCTTGTCAAACAAATATTACATTCCTTTGAAATTTCAATGCGTTTTACTAGAATAATTCGTCCTCGAGTTTACAAATTTTCGTGAATCAAATGTCAAAACTGCTGATTATCGTACTGATAAGGAACATTTGAGAATGGACGTTTGTTTAGCAAACGCATTGCCATTTCGCTAATCGTACGTTTAATAAATTATTTTTCTACTTACATGGAATTGATTATATTCGTTTCGATTCACAATTGTTCGAGGCTTGACCGATTATGACAAAATCTAAACTGCAACGAACGAGATTACGACGGACGCTGAAATCTACGAAGAAGTCGCATGGCGCCTCCGTTAGCACGCAGGCTCGGATGTTCGATCGATTCAGCTGTGATAAAACTATTTATGTCATTCGACCACTAAGAATATGAATGAATATTCTTTTAATTGACATCGTCGCGATAATAAAGAAGAACTTGTCCTATCGTATCTCCGCATATCTAATCAATTGGAAATTGATTTTCTTTTTATTCTTGTTTTTGAATTGATACTTTATTTATTTCTAGGAAACTTACTGAATTTAGCTCTATGTGTAGAAAAATGATTATCGATAAATTATAATGTTACAATCGATTTATGTTTTAATTTACAATTAAAAATAATTTATCATCGAACATATTAATATTGTTCGATGAAATATACGCGAGAAAATGATATCCAACAAATATTTTTGTATCTAATGTAAAAGAATACAACTTTTAAAATCATACTATTGAATTTTTTTTTAATTTACAAATTGTAAAATGAATTTTATTCATTAGAATATATATGTGTGTATGTGTGTGTATGTGTGTGTATATATATATATATATATATATATATATATATATATA